CGCCTAAAGAAACAGGAATTAATTTTTGGTTAAAATGCTGTGTATTTAGGGCCACTGATACCCTCTTGTCCTATTTGACAAGTGGAGAAGGTGGGGACTGTGCAGTTTCTGTGTGCCTTCAGCTCCTTGAATCTCAGATGATGAGAAAGCAGCATTGCCAAAGGAAGGAGAGAGGAAATGTGGGCAGAAGTAGGAAATGCAGTTCGTGGAAGTCAGGCCTCAGCAGACATGTTGACACCTGGCAGGCCTTGACCAGCAAGTGGAAATTTAAACCTGCTCCAGTTTTAACTGGTTTTATTTTTCACCGAGGCTAGCTGTCTTCTGATGCAGACATACCTCTGGTTTGGGTTGTTTGTTTTTTTTCTCTGTACCTAAGGTTAATCCTGGAAGTGGCAAATGTAAGTCTGGATTCCAGTTAGCACTGTCTTCTCAAGAGCATCTCTTTGTATTACAGATAACTGAGGCCTGAAAACCATGGCAGGTATGAAGGTCCCTGGAGTTACCAGGTGGACAACCAGAATGAGAAGGCTCAAAGTTCTGGAATTAATTTAGATGCCACATTAAATCAGTCTTTACTTGCAGCTGGTCTGAGGAAACATGAAATACTACAAATCTTGGTGTTCAAACTCAGAGCTGGAGTTGATAGACCACAAAGCTCGCATTCATCACGTGAAGCAGACTTGAAATGTTTTTCCTGAAATTAAGACAGTTCACATACTTGGTCCTTATTCTTTACTACCTAAGTAGGTCAGAAGGTATCCATTTGCTCTATTTTTTTTTAATCTGTAGCTGCATTTGTCTGATTCTTGGGAAGCTGCTTTGGGAAATGCTGGAAGTTGCTTTCCAGGGCCATACTTCTCTTATAGGACCATGTGGCCTGAGCAGTGGTAGTTCAGGCTACCTTGAAGCATTGCAGAACAGCCATAATACAAGTTTCTACTATCTTTAAGGTTGAGGGATTTGTTATTTAGTGTCCTTTCCCCTCCCTAGTCCCCCTTTCCTTGCTTTGGTAAGAAAACAGGGAGATTTTGAAATGTGGAGGAAAACAATTAGGTTGTTCTTGTGATATAAAGAAAAACTCCTTCAAATGTTAGAGGAATAGAGATAAATCTTCTTGACTTTTGCTTTGAAATTATGTAGGTGAGAATAGCAAATGAGAGTCAGTCCCTGTAGATATCTCCTGATGTTGTCTTTCCATTGAAACTGTACTTCGACACTTGCAAGCAAAAAAAAAAAAAAAAAATTAGTCTTGGGTTTCCACAAACTTCTGAGTCATTTCCACAAATTACTTGTGTTTCATCCTCTGAATACAAAAACTCAAAACATGTTGCACAATTGAGTAGCAATTGGAAGTAGAAGAAGAAGTGCCACTATTTTTTCAATGGTCAGAAATTGCACATCAGCCCAACTGATAGCCATAGCTGACTGGGATTGTGTATGTGACTGTCAGAATTTTAGTCAATGAACTTTTTGCAAGTTTGAGAAATGTTTTCTCCTTGGTGGCTGGGGAATGAAGGGACTTGCAGGATGAGAATTAGATGTAATTGCACAAACAGAAGTCTGGAGGGAGAAGACAGCATTTCAATATGTAACTCTAGAGAACTGGAAAATACAGAGCAGTAATTATCTCTTTCACAGTCTGTTCATAACCTACTTCTTTTCCTTAAGAACTGGCTTGAAAAAATATGCATTTGTACCGCAAATACATAATTTTATCTGTTTCCTAATAAAATCTGTATTGATGTTAAATAGTATTTTAAACTAAGATATGCTGCTGCTCTTAAATTCCCTCTTTTTATTCTGACCTGCTTAAAAGCTTTTTAGGAAATTCCTGGCTGTTTTTAATTAGTCTTTCTGTGAAAAGAGTAGTTTTGCTTTAGGGCAGTGTTTCTTCAAGAATGTAGAAAAGATTAAATTCTAGACACAGTAACCATGAAACCACATCATGTCACTGCTATTGAGTTCAACTTTTTCTTTGTCAAAGATCTTTTTTAAAAATATTTAGTGCATTATAAAGATTTCTTTTTTTCCACCATTAATTATTGACGGCCAGCTTGGTGAACTTTGCAACACTGGTTATTTGTGAATTGAGGGATGAGTATCCACTATACAGGATTTGACATACAGGTAATTATGCTGATCTAACATTAGGTTGATGAATAGTTTTGTATTGAGCTACAGAGATAGCCAGTGCCTTCAGTAGACTTCTGCAGGCCCACTCAGGAGTCTCAGTCTGTCATTTTGACAGATGAATAATTTTATAGAAAAAAATACTTTTTTTAACGATCTTCCTTCTTTTGGGGTGGGGGGGTGTGTGTGTCTTGGTGGTTTTTTGTTTGTTTGTTTGTTTTATTATTTTTGTTTGGTTTGGGTGGTTGGTTTTCTTTTCCTGAAAAGCTCGTGACACAACAGCAATAAAAATTAAGGCTGCATGATTTATTAATCTGTGCAGTGCCCAAAATAAAAAAAATCTTGTTACAGTGTAAGAAGTTAATGCCTGCTTCAAGACTTTGCGCTTTTTAATTTCTGCCTTCAGTTATTACTTCAGTCATTCAGCACTGTAGAAATACACTGCAGTATGACAAGAACTTTTGTGGGGCAGTCAAGCAATTTGTCATAAGATTTCTAATTACCTGGAGTATGAGTTATTAAATGCACAGGTCCAAATTTAAAGAGCATCAAAACCAAACACAGATACCCAGACTCAAGACTTCAAGGACAGACATTGCTTTTCTATTTCTGATAAAAATAAATAGAAGTTCATAATACAGTGCTTTAGAGCTTTCAAGCTGCTGCTCAAGGCCAGGTATTTTGGGGTAGATATTTAAGAAATTAAGCATTTTAGTATTCTATCTTTTCCATTGAAGTAAAGGTACCTTAGAAGACTGAAAAAGTAAAATATATTCCAGGCTGCATATTGGGCTTTAGTCTCCCTTAGCATTGTGTGAAGAGCTGCATCGATTTGCTGCTTAAGATGCTAGACATTCATGTAGTACTGGATTCTGGCTGAGGTATGGAATTCAGGTACATTTGTTTTAGTGTGTTCCACATGATAGCAGTGACTTTTCTGACTGTCACAGCCTTCTCTAAAGCTGATTCTGAACTGACTATTCTGCCTCATGTTCTCTGATCTGCTTTTGAAACATCTCACTTAAATACATGCCTCTCAATGCTTAACAACCTCTTTGAAGCTTAATACTGTAACTTTCTGTTTACAATACAAATGGTTAATCATGTCTTCAGTCCCAGAAGAAATGCTATGTATGTTAATATAGTGTTAAAAATCAAAACCAAAACCAAATCTCAGAGTGTCTTCCATCATAAATTGTTGTAGCTGATTTCTCACATCCTTTCTTTCTCTACCAATAACTGTATTCTTTAAAAAATAAAATATAAATAGAAAATAAAAAAGCTTCTTTATTTGCATCTGATGGCACACAGAAGTACCATATGGACCTACCATCTATTGATGGGTTCCAAATAAGTATACTTTGTCCACACTACTACAGCTTCATATTTTGAAGGCATAATGTTAAGTTCTGTTATAAACAAACAAACAAACAAAAAAAGGCAAAGGAAACAGAACAATCCCACCTAAAATTGAAGCATAACTTGAATATTGTCTTTTGTTTTCTTAAGGTCAGTAATGTGTGTGGAAGATATTAGCTAACTCAGCTGAATGACTTGTCAGAGAAGGACGTGGCTAGGAGCATGTAACTGCTTCCAATTTTTTTCAGATTTAAGAATATACTTTTTACATGTTTGCAGAGTAGCACCCACTCAGTATTTTGTGTGGAAGTGTTCTAGTTTGCAAAGCAACGTAATGAGCAGTTAGTGAGGATGGTTTTTCTCAGCTGCCAAAGGGTTTCACAGAGTTGTAATAACTGCCGTGTTACTGTCAAGCTGTCATAGAGTAAATGAAGGTTTTAAAGTGTGTATTGTCAGGTTTTGGGTAGCTGTTTTTTTTTTTGAATGTTTGAGAAATGCTAACTTTCCCCTGAAATAACCAAGACACAAGAGGTGAAATGCAACTAGATCTGTTTAGCTGTGCACAGTAATTGTAAGTGTGAGACCTAAAAGGAAAACTCTTTTTCCAGGAGGATCACATTAGCTAACTTGAGACTGAATTTCTACCTAAAACAGCTGAGATACCCAAGATAAGCTCTTCCACTGTAGAGCAGCCCTCTTGGACTCTCCCAGAGTTGCTGTGTGGTGGATGATAGAGAAACAGTCATCTAATCAAGATGTTTTTATAGTTGATCACCAATAGAGTTGGTGAGGTTCAGGCTGTTAATGTGATCTTCTTTTGCTGAAGTACTGCAGGCTGTACTGATGGCTCCAGCTGAAAACAAAGCTGCTGATCACTGGTTATTAAAAGTGCTATGTGGAGAAGTCTGGAGATGGAGGTGTTGAGATTAGATATTTGGTGTTTTAACTCTCATATCTGTAAAATTTGATATTTTCACCTTGAAATATGCAGTGACCACTGTTTTCAAGAGCACTACAATGTATCTCTTGTAGAAGCCTTAAGAACAATGAGAAGTTTGCTGTATTAAACTTTGCTCTCATAACTGATTTTCCATGAGACTGAGGGGGTAAGAGGAGGTATAGCACTTGATAACTAATTTGTTTGTCTAATGCTTCCTAGGTTTGAATGCATTGTTTTGCTAATAGTGTTAATTTTCTATGTGGCTTCTGTATAGTATTGCGCGTATTTTCTTTTTAATACATGCCTCATTCAGCCGTAGATTATTGCCTGTTTATCTTGGTAAAGGAATAATCCACAGACCACAAAACTTGAGCCATTGTTATATAGCCTTCTGTTAATACTGCTTTGTAGATAATGCGTGGAACTTGGTCTAGTAGAATGCTATAGAACCTGCCAGAGTGACCATTGGAGTTAACAAAAAAGACATGACAAATGTTAGGGTGTATTTAGTGAATGTAAGGACATAAGTTTGTGGTCTGCTTGTGTAACTTTAAATTTGTCTCCTACACAGTGGTATATAAATTTGCAGCAAAAGCACAACCTGTGTATATACTGTGTAAGTATGGATAGGATGTTGTTATTGTTAGGTTTGGGTGCATAGGTCATTGAGGAATCGAAGAATCTTTCATACTAATATCACTTCTTAGTAATATCTAGTCTTTGCGTTTCGGTAGTTCTTCTAATTTAATTTTGCTACTACCTTTCTGATGCTGTGTTATTTTCTCTGTTCTGTACTGTTTAACATGTGATTCTGAATTGCATACTGCACTGATTTGGTTCTTAGTGATTCAAATGCTGATGAAGAGACTTCTGGCAATCTTTTTATTACATTCTTATTAATAGTCTGTTCAATATATTGAGTTCAGCTACTTTTTACTTCATGCTTTCTACTTCAGTGTAACTTCTTAAAAACAATTGTCTGCCATGTGGAATATCAGATTTTTTTTTTTTACCTACTAAAATTTCGTTGGAAATTAATTTTTTGCTTATCAAATTAAGCTCCCCTAAAGGTGCTTGGACTTTCACATGTACAGACACACACACTGAACTGAAAATGTATAAGTCTGAGATACTGAAATGGGCTTTTTTTATTAATGTGCATTTGTCCTAATCTATTCCAAAGTACATTTAATATCCAGACAGTGATCTGTGCATTGGTAAATTTTCATTATTTGAACAAATAATGAATGAGAACAGTGAGACACATTATTAACTTTTTAACATTATGGAATGATGAGATATTATGCCAATATTTGCTTATTGTATAACTGTGCCCCTGAGTGCAGAAGTGCATGCAGCATGCATCTTCTGAGTGGGCAGCCTCTTCGCTTTCCTGACGATTTGGGTAAAAGGGTGCATAAAATCAAGCAATCTTATTCAAATCTTGGTTATTTTAAAAGCCTTCTTAAGCTGCTAGTATTTAATAGCAGAGAGAAGTGACTTTTCCAATAATACTCTTTTTGGAGGGCTGTATCAGTGACGAGTTGAGATGTCTTCTACACCCACACCTTTTTTTGTATGTGTGTGTTCTCCTTTCTTGAATTCTAAGACGAAATTGAGGCTGAGTGTGAGAAACCTCAGCGAAACAGTGTGGGGAAAAAGGAGCAGTAAGATGATTGTAAAAAAGCAGATGGCAAGACCTTTCTTTTAGGTCTCTTTTTTACAGGGTATTGTCAACTTAAGCTGATAATGCCTAAAATATATCTGATTTTCAGTAGTATAATACTTGTTGGTCATCGTACCATCGTTCTGACAATGGGGAACGTGGTTTTCAGTACATTATCCAGAAAAGGACATGTGTTTTACTGTGCCCTTTCATAATCAGTGACATGTTTACTTTGTGGGACACTATAGAAAATATACCAGTAAACCAGCTACTGTTAAAGTGAACTAAATGTCATGTTCCTGAAACATTAAGCCTATTTCAGTTACATGCTTTTTCTTTTATATGTTTAGTGACAAACAAGAAACCAGCTCAAGCATCTATTACAAAGGTGAAGCAATTTGAAGGCTCTACATCTTTTGTCAGGAGAACACAGTGGATGCTTGAGCAGCTTCGCCAGGTCAATGGTATAGACCCTAATCGGGTGAGTTTGAACAGTTCTAAAAAAAGAAAATTAAGCTCTCGTATAACTGATTTGTGAGTCAGGCATTCTCTCCCTATTCAAAAGGCATCTGGAAAGTTTGGATACAGGTTTAAGTCCAAATTCTCAAAAAAGAAATGTCAATGCAATATATGAAATAGATTTTTAATGGAAAAGGTGGGAGGAGGCCAAAGCTTACATTCATATGGGTTTTCTTTCTTCTTGCCTTTCCCTACTTCTCTTCCTACTCTCTCTTTGTAAGGACTAAAATAAGAGCCTTGTTTGCCTATAAGCCTCTTGGGGTCCCTTTTGGCATGCAGCTGTGTTGTAAGGTAGAGCATTAAGTAAAAGCAGGGACATGAGAGGTTACTGAAGTTCAATTTGTGAAATAATGTGAACCTCTCATTTTTTTCTAGTGTAATCCTGTCCTCAGATCTTTCTGCATTTCTTACCCTTTTATACAAAGGGTGGTGGTGTGGTTTAGTTGCCAGTGACATGCAAAAGCCAATTTAGACCAAACCAAACAAACAAAACACCAAAAATAAGACAAACAAACAACATTCCCTCCCCCCCTTCCCCTTCCCTGGCTAGTTCTGGGATTATTCTTTCAATGTGGAATATACAGTCCACCTTGACCTCTCAAGACAAAGTCATACTAACATGTAATAAGCTCATAAATACAAATCTTCAGTAGTAAATCAGCAAAATTAGAATTTAGGAATGTGGCCTGTATTAGGTGATCACAAAATGACTTAACTGTGTTCATTGTACAGGAAATCAGCCACCTAAGCATCCTAACATTGGTGCACCAAATTCTGTTACCACCCAGTACAGTCTTCTGTACAGAAAAGAAGCCCTTTGGCCACTGCCCTGTGAAATGCAGGAGGTGGAATTATATTTTCTCTGGGTAAAGGGACAATGAAAATGAGAGCAATTGAAAATAGATAATGGATATTAGGTTTAGGCCCTTTCCCAGCATCTACTGTGCAGCTTTGTAAATAAGAGATACTTGAGATACTCTCAGATTGAAAGTCCTATCAAGTTCTTCGACATGTTCCTTTCAAACTTGTCTTCCTGTGAATTCCAAGTATCATCAATTCAAAAAAAGCATTTACTAGATTAATTACAAAATGGTGTTTAGCAAATACTGCTAAATATATAGCAATACTTCTTGCATAAATCCATTTATTCCGGTAGTTGCTGCATGGTATAGAGCTGGGCTGTGATTTCTTCTGGGAGTGCTCTTTTGTTCATGTCACCCTGAGACCTATGCAACACTTTATGATAATATGTTAAACACAATAACAAAACTAAATTGCTATTTTTTTTCCTTCTTTGGTTTGGCATCAAGAGCAGAAGCACATCTTCTTAAAATATAATATGAAAGTAGATTTTGTGCTAAGGCACAAATCCTTGCATAATTCAGAAGACAAATAAGTGTGTATTTGTAGAGACATAGTTAAAATCTCATATTTCTTACGAGAATGAGATTCCAATTTTAAATGTTTTTTTGTTTTCAGGTATTTTTTCATAGGTGAATATTCCTCATTAAAAATACCTGCAAGAAAAAGCCTTCCTGTCTGTTCTTTTTGCATCCAGAAATATATGAAGGAAAAATAATCCCATGACAGTCTTGAGTTGCATGACCTTTCTGCTTTTCCAACATAATACTTTTTTAAAATTAATAGATCTGTTTTTCCCAAGTCATTTATAAAACTGGAATAATAGTAGTGTGTGATTTTTATTTTTATTTATTTCTTCTAGGATTCCCCAGAATTTGATCTACTATTTGAAAATGCTTTTGACCAGTGGGTAGCAAGCACAGCTTCAGAAAAGTGCACATTTTTTCAGGTCCTACATCACACTTGTCAGCGATACCTTACAGACAAGAAGCCAGAATTTATCAACTGCCAGTCTAAAATTATGGGAGGTAAGTCAGTTGAAGCTGGAGTACTTGGTGCAGTTGGACACGAAATGATTTGCACGTGAGTTACTCTGTTTTGAAATGAGCCTAATTGGATCTTGAAATCATGGGTCTGAATATGCTAACTTAGAAGTAAAGTTCTAGGCTTCAGCATTTCTTCATCGAGCACCGCTTCAGACTCTTCCACTGTGATTGCTTCTCTAGTCTTGAGCGAACAACATCCCCTACACACCTTGTGAGAAGTCGTTCTCCTCCCTCCTTTTAGCACCCTTGGTTTTGATTTGTCTCCCTACTTTTGTTCATTCAGAAGCATTTCTGGGTGGTTTGAAATACTTCCTACTAAAGCCTGTTCTGCATTGCCATTTCCTCACAAGTCTATGAAAAAGTGGTTATTTCTAAACTTCCAGTAGTCTTTGGGGAGTCACTTTGATCTTGACAGAAATCAGCTTGTTTAGAGTTCTGTTATATTTCATAAGTCATATATCTTAAGGTGGATTTCTGGGATTAGACTAAAAAACATCTGGTTAGGAAAAAAAAGTGTGGTCAATATGTGAAATCGGTATTCACCATCCACTTACCAAGCAACAAAAACTATTATTCGGGGAGTATTTTCACGTATTTCACAAAATATCCTTTAGGAAAATAAACTGGTTTAGTTGTTCCTTTAGACTGAAATTTCTGAAAAGTCTCCTTTTTGTCTGCTCTTAACCAGAATATTTTTTTTTTTTAATTCTTATACCATCTGTGTTCCTCACAGCTGAAATAAGAAATCGTTTTTCTGATTGAGTCTTCAAACTGTAGAAAAAAGTGTAAGCTGACTTGGGGCCTTGTTTAGTTGTTGTTTCTCACACACACACACACACACACACACCCCAGTATACTTCAGTTGTAAATATGGAGAGCCTTACTCAGGTTTTTCTAGTAATTCCTCTCTTATAAATCTAGAATATATTCCTGTATGCTGTTACCAGAACTATATTTTGTGCTTCCACCTTCATATGTTCTTTTATCTGGCTGTTATTTTGCCTTGCATCCCTTTGCTCTAAAACACTAAAGGTAAACTTGAGGAAGGGAAAAATCATCTTCACTTTACACTTCAAATACTGACACTGAGGTTACCAGTAGCTCTGGGGTTGTAAGTTAGAACTGTTCTGTAAATCATCTCTTTATTTTACTATTCCCATTCTAAGAAAAAAGGCACAAAGTTTATTGTAAACTTCCTCTTCTCGTTTTTTCCCTTCCATGTTAACTAGTATTTCCTTTGTTTTATTTTTTGTGTGGTGAGGAGGAGGGAGGGGCAATTTCTGCACTTATGGGAGAAGATATCCTCTCTGAAATTTTTTTCATTTCATATAGAAGAACTCATTCATATGGAAGCCTTTGCTTGTCATCTGTTTACTCATGATGCTCACTCCCATCCTTCCTGCCAATAAGTCAGTGTTAATAAACCACCTGACATTTCAGCCTCTGAAAGTTTTACTGTTATGTAAGATGGACAGGTCTGAAGTTGAGTTCCTGATTCAGCTGACCCAGATACCAACATTTTGTCCTAAACAAGTGTCATTAGTGGAGGGGGCAGGGGGAAGGATGCCACTGAGGTTCATAGACTTCTGCTTGACTTCTGCGTTTATTTTTGTAACATGCACTAGACCCGGCCGTGTCCCATGAAGCTTACCCATGTTCTTTCTTTTACAGCTTTGTAGCTGGGCTTATTCAGTCACTGCCTGATACAACATGGTGACTGTTTCCATATTCCTTGCCTGTCATTCTGATAGACACAGTCCGTGTGTGTACACACACTCTGTGAAGACTACAGATAAAGCATTAGGCCAGGGACTAATAAGTTTCATAGACACAGTGCTTTTGCTGTTCTTCACACTGCCAACTTTTTCCATGCACTTGGTTACAGGTGCCTTGTACATAAGTTTAAACTTGATAGAAACCAAGTAATAGGTAACCCTACATTCCAGTGACTTTGTGTGTCAGCCTCAAGAAATGTAAAGTCTACAGAAAAGAAAAAGTCCTAATTAGTAAATAACCACTATCAATAATTATAAAAGGCAATGCAGTCCTCTTGTTGGACATTGTCTTTAAACAGACTATATCATCTTAAGTATTTTAACATCTGCTGTTCCTTTCAATATTCAGATTGGTATTCTTAATGCAATGCTAAGTTTTCTATGAAAGTTTCATATTTATACTATAATTGCAAGCCTTTTTTGTATGTTCATGCATACAGATAAATTCTCACTCAGTTCCGGAAGCATTGTTCTCACACCCATGCTGGTATCTGTTGAAAATGCAGGTAATTAATTATGAAAGAAAATAGATCAAATTAGCTTTTCAAACCATTTTTTTTAATTGTGGAAAAAAAGAATTTTCGTTTAGCAATTTTCCTACTGTTTTCATATACATGGGGATGTATTTCACTAATCTTTCCATCATCTTCAGAAGCTTTTGTATTACTTTATATTTAAATTTATCTATTGGAACCATGTTGCTTCCAGTTATTGATTAAAAATAAATAAATGTCATAGCAGCTTTGAAATAGAACGGTTTGTGTTGGAAGAGACCCCCTGTTCCAACCTCCCTGCCTGTTCCAACCTCCCTGCCATGGGCAACAACACCTTCCACTAGACCAGGTTGCTCAAAGTGCCATCCAACCTGGTCTTGAACACTGCCAGGGTTGGGGCAGCCACAGCTTCTCTGGGCAGCCTGTTCCAGTGCCTCACCACTCTCATAGTAAAGAATTTCTTCCAGATATCTAATCCACCCTCTAATACCTAATCTACCCTTTTTCAGTTTAAAGCCATTCCCCCCTGTCACATAACCACATGCCCTTGTAGAAAGTTCCTCTCCATATTTGTTGTAGTCCTCAATTAAAGCAGGTCTCCTTGGTAATATGTAATGCTGTGAAGTTAGTTCAGTCACAGGTTTATGTTATTGCTCCATTTGAGGCAAATGGAGTAATTAATTGATCAAAAGGAACACCATTCATTGACTTCAGGAGCTGTTCTGCGAGTTGGTAGTTGGCAGGCTCAGGCACTGGGGAGGTACCTGCAGTTCTGCTAGTAGTCGTTTGAAGCCCAGGGATGGGTCAGTGTGTATCAAAACCCATTTAGTCAGGGACCTGCAGTGTCAGAGTTCTTATGGAAAGTGCAGTGAAATAGTCTCAATCTCAAATTCTTCCTGACTGGAAGAAGTGTAAGGTCCAGCTGTAGTCAAGCAGCCCAGAGAACCTGGCTATATAGGTTCAAATGAATTATATTTAGTTCAGAATTTGCAACTCGGTGTATTTTGCTAATTAGCCAAAGCAGTATATTCAAATCATTCTTAAACCTTAGGACAGTCAGATTTCAGATGAAGCATGTCACTTCATCCCTTCCTACAAGGTAGCATTTATGGTTTAAGTGAGATTCTTATTAACTTTCTGGGAGATTTGAACATAAATATTCTTTTGGGGAGGTTAGTCACTTTAACTTCTAATACCCAACAAATACTTTTAAAGTATTAGAATATATATATATGCATGCACCCGCATGCTTATGTATGTAATGATACAGATAAGTGCATCATGTATATGATGTGTGTCTTGTAGCTAATACACATTTTCAAAAACAAAACAAAAAAAAAATACACCAAAGAGCACTTCTTCCCAGTGGAATGAAGATGAAAGAACTTGAAGGGCTTGTTTACAAGCTTATCTTGCTGAGACTTACTCCTTTCTAAAGGATAGAAGGGAAGAAAGTGAAATTCATGCTGCTCCTGTTTCTGCAGGAAGAGTTTAGGAGATTAGCCACAAGTAAACATTGGGTGTCCCTGCGGAACTACAGAACCTCTTCATTGCCTTCCTCCTTCTACCTCCTCCCCACACACCCACTTCCCCTTACATGCCAGAGCTCTGTAATGTTGTTCTTCAGAACCATTTTTTGCTTTATTTTCATTTAAGTATCATGTAAGGATATAGTAGGGTAATGTAGGCTAGACTGTCTTCTGTAACTTGATTAATGACAGGTGATCTTAAGGTCCTTTCCAACCCTGACCATTCTATGATTAAAGGTGTGAGTGCTAATTGTGGGAACAAATAACAAATTTAAATTTAGGAAGACTAGCAAGATTCCTCCTATTCGTATCTTGTATTAGGTATTTCAAGCTTGTCTGTTTAGAAGAGACCTCTCCATAGCTTACCTTCATTCTGGATGTTATTTTGGAGAGGAAAGGCAGGCATTTGAGAGTAGAGGGGTTTTTGACAGAGGTAGGAAATATTTTCTGCTTTTGTCTCTTTCTAGCATACAGTTTCTGATACTGGAACTGGTCTAGTTTGCAGTATTTTTGTGTTGTTATTCGTTGGCCAAGTTTGTATTGCTGTTGCTTTTATGTCAGCCATGTGAAAAACAAATTCTTGACATCAGGCTGATATTGAAGACAAATCTTTCTGGATAGAACCCTCAAATACAGCATTTGCAGCTCTTAGAAGTTTCATTCTGGACCTGTAAAAATAAACAGTTGCTGCCACCTTTAGATACGTGTTAGAAGTGCATAATCTTTGGAAAGGAGCAAGACCTCAGGTTGAAGGAAGATGATGACCTTGCAAGATACTTTATTTGCTTGGTTGGTTTTGTTTTAAGCTTTGTCCCACCTACATGGATTGGTTGTAACAGTCATTTGGTTTTGTCGTGGATTTGGTTTGGTTTGTTTTCTTTTCTTTTTTTAATTCTGCTATGGGGTTTGTTTTTTGGTTTCAGGGTTTTTTTCGGACGATCTTTGCCTTTGTAACCTTTTCTTTAGGACAGCTGGCAAGAGTTATTAATGGGTCATTCTCTTTCTCCTCCAAGTATATATTGCCAGTGTAAGAATGGTAATGAGTACTTCTTTTTTTCATAGACTGCTGACTCAGATTACCCCATTTGAGAGCTAGTGAGCATAGAGTGGTGTTTACCATACTGTGCAAGATTAATGACTGAATAAAGGAGATGAGTGAAACTTGCTGTTAGGCATTAGGATGG